GACCTTTCAGTGTTACCAATAGTACTTGCATTTTGGAAATTTATGATAGTAAATAAAATTTTTATTTTTAAAAGATCTTTCACTGATTGTAAATGCCCATTTTTTCAGTTACTTGCATATTAAAGTGCTTGTAAACTTAGCAATGTCCAGAAAATAATTTCGTGCAATTTTGGAAGCTACTGCCTTAACTGTATGCTGCTATACATTAAATTTAGTAAGATTTCATATTTTGCACATCAGCTGTAAAATGTACACTTCCAAAATGAAATTTTCTCTCTGAATTATAAATTCAAACATGACAATACATATTCTATTTTATTCCTGTATCCCAATTAAATAAACACATTACGAAAATGTGCATTTAAATATAGTATTTTACTAAAAATAAGTCGATTAATGCTATTTTTATTTATTTAAATTATTTTTTCTAAAGTATATCAGGAACAAGTACCAAAAATCACCTACTCAAACTGGTAGTCAAGTATATTCCAAATTTCCTATTTTTGATATGTGAATAAGTAATGAGCTTTTTAAAACAAAAACACACAATTTGGCCGAAATATAGAAACTACACATTATTATATACTACATGAATAAATTTATGAAATACAATACCCTATATAAGGTTCTGATATGGGAAATTTGACTTATGAAACTTTTTTTTTGGAGATAATATAAATTAAAAAAGAAAAGTTAGCTTGTAAAACCATGGAAATCTTTATAGATATATAAAGAATATGATATTTACTTTTAAAAAATCAATACATAAAACAGTGTAAATAAAATACAAACTACAAATTAAAAATACATGCTTTTATTTTAACAAATACAGGGCTTAAATAAAACTGAGTGTTTCACAGAAAAGAAAAAAAAAAAAAAAAAAGCTTTTATGAATAGAAAGTGAAAGCTAGTAAAGATATAATGATGAAAGCCTCATTCAAACCTGCAAAAGTTCACTCAAATATAGTTTTGATGGGTTTTTTTTTTTTTTTTTTTTTTTTTTTTTTTTTTTTTTGAAAAACTATATATATACTGTTTGTATGCAACAAAAAGTTAAGGCCTGTTCTCAAGGATTTTTTTTTTAAATTTTTATTCCTACTAAAAATCTTAATACACACTTAATCCTCATTACAAATTAAAGAAAATTCTATAGTTTTGATATATTCATGTTGCTAAAAAATAGTTTTAAAGGAAAAGGTTTTTAAAAAATCTTAAATAAACAAATATTACTATGAAAGCAAAAACTCTGCAATCAAATATTGAGGTGATTAAGTTATAAATAGGTGGCACTTTTAAGTATAGGCAATCTGTTGACATTGCGAGTTAATACCATTTTATTCCTTATACTTATAATATTTGGTAAGTTCGAATTCACTGCCACTTTATTCCTGCTTTACCAGATCATTCTTATGCATTAGCTTAAATTTAAAAAATTTAGGATTTATTCATGCATTATTAGCTAAGATACACTAGTATACAAATTTTCAGCTCATTTATAGATTTTGAATAAGCGTTTTTTTTTAACAAAGTAAACATATCGCACAATCTTATCTCAATAATTTAATAATAATAGCATTTTTCTTTTTTTTATCGCAGGCAGTACTTGTTTGCGAAACCAAAATGCGTACGACTTGGCGAAAAAGGTTAGCGCCAATTGGCGCAGCTTTCTATTTCAACGGAGTGCACGGAAAAAGAACATAAAATGCAACTATTTGTAAAAGGTGACTCCAGTAAATAATGTCACAGTATTTATTACATTTTGATGTTATTAATACATGCTGAAAATGTCATATACAGCGGCAATTTTCTTATACAATGTGGCTGAAACTTTCCAACCAATTCAACAGAGATAGTAAAATGACAAAAATACTGGAAATAAAATAATAAATCATGCAGTTTTAACTTAGTTATGAAAGGTTACAGGTCTCCCTTTTACAAACCTTTCTTTACATCCATAGGCGCTGCAGCGGATAACCATTTTTTCTTAAATTTTATGTGACCAAGCAGAGCAGGCGTCTTTCGTCCCATAGAAATGAATGTAAAGTATTTCCGGACTTTCGGAATTCGACCAGCAGTCACGTGACACTAATGTTGGAACTGGTTGGAGATTGCAATAAGCTCTCTACCAGTATATATCTCATTGGTTTCAAACTGTCACTCAGATATTATTATGTAGCAGTACTGACAAACATAAATAGCTGCAAGACGTATCATTTTGTAATAATAGTAAAGAAAAGTAGAGTGTAAAATATGATTTTTAGAAATAAAATCATTGTCAAATTTCAAAAGAAATTTCATGTGGAAATACATTTTAATGTTCAGAAGCCATCTATCTGTAAGTGATGTAAAAAGTATTTTAACTGAGTATTTGCCAGATAGTCCTGCAAATATGTGAAAAATAGGGAATAAACTTAACCAGTCTTTCCTTAGTTACTAGTTAAAAATTTAAAATTATTCTGCATGATGTTAACAAGAGACAAGCTTGCAAATTCTGTTAGTTCATCATCCAGTTTACTGATAGATCACAAAAAACTTCCCCTCCACCATCAATGAGCCCTCCCCTATGATATACCTCTTTACTGAATATGGAGCTTAATTTATAGAATGTTTTATTTTTTTGTTAAGAAATATTTCAGTTACATTGAAGTGTGTCTCACTGTGATTGCTAAGAGATTGGTTAGAAAAAGATATCATGCATGATTGTATTATTCAGTCAACCTCCCCTCCCCAAAGAAAAAATTTAGTTATAAATGTGATATGCTGGAATATGTTGAATATTGCTTTTCTACAATTTGTCTGTAGGGAGAACCTCATTTCCCATCAGAAAGGAACATTATGGGATCATTATGCTCACTGTGGTGCTACTGCTTGATTGCCATGCAATCCAGATTTAATTTAAATTGATATCTTTGAGACAATGTTAAAGATACTAAATGTTTGAAGAAGCCCGTTTCCTTATCCATCTGTCCAAAGGAAAAAAAAAAAAAAAAAGATAAAAGGCCATAGAAACATAGTCATGCATGAGGCATGGTTTAAAAAAAAAAAAAACACTTAATTGCAATTTATTTAACAATTTTATTTTTACATGAAAGCCTATACCTTAATCTATGTTTTTCGACATAATTGCCACCAATATTAAAGGCATGTTCTCATTTCTTTGTGCATATTTAAGATGCCTGAAGCAAATGAAAATCATGCCGATTGTGAAATACACACTGTGATATATTTGAATGTGAAGAATATGAAAGTGGCCAAAATTCATCAAAAGATTGGTGGTCTATGGGGAGAACACTGTGAGTACTAGAATCATAAGAAAATGGATTGAAGCATTTAAAAGATGACCGTTCTAATGTTTGTGATGAGAAGTGTAGTAGGTGACCATCTGTCATTCTAAAAGACTTAATGCAAAAAAAAAAAAAAAAAACTGATACAAAAGTTCAAGAAAATATGTGCTTTACAATTTTGTCATTATGTGACAATTTTTCTCAAATTTCAAGGAGTGTTCTTTATGAACTTGTGGCAGAACACTTGAATTATAGCTAATTGTACTCATTCTGTGTACAAGAAATGCTAAATAAGGTGCATAAAACCACTTGTAGCCAGTGATTTGGCTTTTCTTTGGTGATATGGTGATAACAAGGATCAGTTTTTAGGCCAAATTGTCACTACCAATGAAACATGGGCAGCTTATGTTACACCAGAATCAAAACGCCAGTCCATGGAATGGAGGCATTCAAAATCACCCAAGAAAGTGAAGTTCAAGCAAACAGTTTCAGCTCGCAAGATCAGGTGGCAAATGTTTATGAAGGTGGAATTCAGAAGCTAGCTGTATATGATAAGTGCCTTAATATTGGTGTTAATTAAGCTGATAAGTAGATTAAGGTACAGACTTTCATGTAACAATAAAATTGTTAAAAAAATTGCACTTGTGTTTATATATATATATATATATCAAAGTATTACTTAAATAAAAACACACATCTCATGTGTCACTGGAATACAGTGTTAGATGAAATTCTATTTTAATGGCTCCAAGAGTGTAAATGATATATAACCATTTTCATGAGTTATACTGTTAGCTTATAAATATGTGATGACATATTTTGGTAATATATGATATATCTGTAAAAAACTATAGCATTCCTCTAGAGAGTGGCATTAGCATATCCACCTAACAAATGAAAGATCTATGGCTTGATTTCTGGTAAAGACATAGTTGGTTTTTTACATGTCGTACTCTGAAAAAAGACCTAATAGTCTCTTCACTTGGACTGGAAGTGAAATGTTTTGGAAAATAACTGGATTTGATTGATTTTGTCTTGTGCCTGTTACCATTGAGGAAGAATCTTCTCATTTGTCTTTCCAGGAGTAGTGGTCAAACATTCATGTGACAGTTGACAGATCTGTTGTTTGATTCCTGTTGGGGGCATAGTTGAGTTTTCATTGAATATCAGAGTGTTCTTCCTCTGATATTTTATATACATATGTATATATATATATATATATATATATATATATATATTAGTGTAATAATTTTAAATCAAATATACAATTTAATTCATATCCAAATAAAAGTGGTTTAAAAAAAAACCATATCCTTATAAAAAATTGATTTTTACTGTTTTTCTAACATATACAATTCTTCAACATTTTTTCTTTCTTTATATTTAACCTTCATTTTAAATTAATACTATTTTCAAAAGTAAAATTTTTTGAAAATTTTCTAACTGATTGTATGTTTAATTGTTTATTTCAGAGATTGCTTTGTTGATCACTCTTAAAGCTTAGATCTACTTCTTTTAGGTTAATAATATTTTTATTAAGAAACACATCACACAAAATAAATTTGTGTTTCTGATAGAAAGTTGTCCTTCCCTTCAAAAATAAAATACGGATTTAAGTCAATTAATAAGAATGGCAACACTGATTTTGATGTAACTGCTTATGCTTACCTTTTTGTATATGCTTTGTCATAACTTTTTTCATTATTTTTCCCCTAGTTGCTCCTTTGTGCTATATTTATGAAGATCCAATAACACTTTACCATGTATTTCGAGAGCTTTATGTTCGATATTTCTTTCGACTGCATAACCTGTCTTCTCATCCCCAGGTTTACTTTCTTTTCATCTATAATTCAGATTTATCCTTTCAAGCTTGTGAACTTTTGAAGTATTTACTGTTACTTTTAAAACATTTGCATGTTAGAAATATGTGTTGTAACTAATTGCATTAAATTATATCATCCTTTAAACTATTATGTGCTTTGCTTTTACTGTTTACTGCATTGTACATACTTTTTCTATTAGTTTTATATATATATATATACTGAAAAATTCTTGGTTTATATAAAGGTGTGATATAACATCTAGAAATAAACAGTGTTGTATACAAGAAAATTATTTTTCACATTCATAAAATAACTGACTTTGAAATAGCTATATGTTAACGAACCAAATGGAACTGAGGCAGTAAGAGATATCAAGCATATTGTATCACAATAGTGCTAAATTGATTACCATATAGTTTTTTTTTTTTTTTTTTTTTAATTTTACTTTGTGTATAGATTTATATTAAAGCGCTTGGAAACCTATTGGACCATATTTGTTAACAAAGCGAGTTGAGTGAGGGTGGCATTTTCAAGTATAGTCATGATATTCTCTTTAAGTTGCAGCACAAATGTACAGTGGAACCTTGGATCCCAAATACCTCAGTTCATGAACAATTTTGTTCATTAGCAAATAAAAATGCCATGGATGATGACCAGTATCTCAAGTTACAAACACTCAAGTCAGCAATGTATGATTTTCAAATGTGTTTTTAAGTAAACTATGCTGCATAATTAATACTGAACACTTTCTAGAAAAATCATTTTATTATTTTCCATAGCTTAACTCACATTAACAAAGGCTTTGTAGCAAATATTCTGAAAGGCGATGAATACGACTTAAAAGAAATTATGCCGAGATTAGGTTGGAGAGAGATTTTAACACTTATGACTTTTTTGTTATGTATGAAATTATGTCTATAGACATAAACCGTTGGCTAGAAATTAAATGATAAAGATTTGAGAAGTTTCTAGAGTAGTTAAAGACGTATTGTGACATGCTGAACAGTTTCTTCGTACCTCAACTTCAGCAGCGACAATGCATTGTATCTACCACTTTTATGCAGGATAGTGCCTCTAAATATAATGGACTCTGTATGCAGAGTTTTTTGTGGCAACATTTTACCAATGGCAGGATGATTATGTGTTTATTACCCACTTCTTGGCCTGCCCTTGTTCTGATCTTACTGTGTGTGAGTTTTCGTTATAGGACCATTTAAGGAGTGTGGTTTATTGGTGGAATCTTGCGACTTTGGCTGAACTGAAGGACCATATAACGTTATATGGGGAAAAGATCACTCTGATCAGCTACAGCCAACTGTTGAACATATTGCCTGCACATTTTATACCTTAATGAGAGGGGGGCCACACTGAACGAAATGCTTTACTTCACTAAACAGCCTTTATAAAATACACAATGCTTTCATTGAAGTCTCTAGTTTGCATTTGTATATAATACGTTACCTAGCAAAACTTTTTTAAAAATCTTTTAGCATATTTTCTTAATTGTCTTTGTACAAATTTTCAAATCAGTCCACATTTTATTTACATCTAAAGAGCTCTGAATAGGCGAAGTTTAATTATGATTGCCCTATATTCTTGGTTAGAGGTAAACTCTTGGTTTACACTATGGGTGCAAAAAACACCCCACATTTTGTATACATCTTATCACATTTTGAGACAAACAATGCAGCAAAGCAAAGAGACACACATTAGCAGGTTGAGAGACAGTAGAAAAATGATTGTTCTTTTCTACAAAGGGGTATTTATAAAAAGTTGACATCCTTTTTTTAAGTTTCAATGGTGATTGGACTAGAGTAATCACATTGCAGATAACATAATGATGAGTTTTTAAGTGATGCAATTAAAAGGGCAAGTCAAATTAAAATCAAGAATTAAAAGGCTAGATTAAAGATAGTAATTTTCTGTGATATTTTATACCTTATGCCATCACACACTATGTATGTATTTGCATAGATTTTGTGAAATGCACTTGTGCACAAAGTAGTGTTGTAAGCTTTAAACAAACAATCATTTTTGTTCCTAGAACAAATTAATCCATTTTACATTAATTCTTATGGCAAAATTGTTTTTGTTTATGAACATTTCGATTGATGAACTGCCTTCAAGAAATGAATTAAGTTCTTTAATCAAGGTTTCACTGTATTGTTCTAAAATTTGAAGATCTTTGTGGCTGTATTTCTTTTGTTATAGTTAATCTGTGAAGAAGCTGGTTGCAGCAGTCATCATAAATCTCTTGAAATTGTGGCAGGTTGCCCATCGTACTGAAATTAACTGTATTGTATCTCAGTCCTATTCCAACTAATTAAAATTTATAAGAGTAATGTTTTAATATTCACCTCTTTACGTAACTTTTTTTTTCCAAAAAAGGTATGTTTTATGATACTTTTAAAAATGTATGGCACTTGTAACCCATTTCCTTGAAGTTCAGTTAAGTCTCCAGACTATTTCTTATAGAGCAGGTTCATGATTTGTACAAATGACAAAAAAATTTGTAAATGACACAAAAATCCAGCAATTAAAAAAAAAAAAAAAAAAAACAGTGCTTGCAATTTATGGCATTATTTTTATTTGATTCATCGATACGTTTGAAAACATGGATTGTCAATCAATTATTGTGATATAATATATTGGGCATCTTTGTAAGTATTGCCAACCATTACATTAATTTGTGCTGTAGGATGTATTAGTAGCATATGCTGGACATCTGTCAAGGTTATATATTGCCACTGTTATATTATTTTGTGTTGTTAAGCTATTCCCAACCAGCATATAGTGATGATTGTGTATGCCAATTCAGAGGCTTCCTTTAAATGAAATTCCTTGTGTTAACGAACATTTAAAAGATATTAGAAGTAAAGAGAACTAGTTAGTACATCTAGTTCCATGACTTCTCAAAATTTATTAACCTATTCTATTTATAAATAATCTAAATTTATAATAATCCTATTCTATTTATAATTTATTTAAACTGAAATGTGTACATTATCTTTTTAAAGTTTTTAAAATTTTACTATATGTAAAAACTTCTGTATTTACTAATGTTTATTAAATTTAGTATTTTAAGTTTTATTTTATAAATGCAAAATGCATTTTCTAATGCTTTTGATTCAATCAGATGAAATTTTTTAAGTGAACTCTATATCAAAATCAAGTTAACAATTATTTTAATTATACATGTTATATATATATAATTTGTACAGATTGTATAATTTTACTTTGTATAAAGTTTCATTATTACTCATTGTAAATGGGTAATTTATGAGAGAGATTCTGTGAACCAGTGAAATTTTATATTAAGCATTTTTTTATCGTAATAAGTAACTGAATTTTCTGTATTGGAAGGAAGACCAAAAAAATTTCTTCAGAAAGAATTTTACCTTAATTTACTTTTATTAGAATTTAGAAACTTAATGAAGTTAATAATGTTAAATAATTAAATAATGTTAAACTTATGCTTTAGTTTAATATAATTACTATTATAACTTATGCTTTAGTGTAATTTGAAGTATATATTTGAAAAAGAATTCAATTTACGTATATGAACTCCTAATAAATAATTTAATTTATGCAATAAGCTTTAGTGCCTGCCATAAAATTTTGTTTCCTAATTCCATTATTTTTAATAATGCTTATTCTCTATTCATGTTTGAGTACTTTACTTAACCAAATAAATTGATTCTTCCTGTTACTGTTTGAGAATATGGGTAAATTCTTAGTAGTCTAAATAATATTCCTTGTTTTAGCATAGTATGGTTTAAGAGAGAATAGAAACACATTGAAATAAAACAGAAAATTAGGCTAAGCAACAACCCTCTAGAATAGAAGAGAAACACGCCAGTGTGACAATCAAAATCGTAATAACAACTTTGTATTTAGCGTACATATATTAAAACACTCGATCGATTTCGAGTGCAGCTAAAGGTCCCTCCTCATCAGGAGAACGAAATTACTAGAAAGGGGGGAAAAAAATAAAGTATTGGGAAAGGAGTCTCAGAAACACGTGGTACTATCAACACTGCACTTGGTCGTAACCGGATTTTGAATCAGAGTTACACTGGCTGCCTACTTTTACTGAGCCAGGCTATCTGATCAAACATATAACACATAGACCAAAACGAAAAAAAAAAAAATCAAAAGTCATAAACAAACAATGAATTTGATTCGAAGTTCAGACTTGGTGCGTGAAGGTGCAGTAGCCCCTCGTTCCCTATTTTTTGACTTTGCTGATTTTTTTGCATTTTAGTCTATGTGTTATATATTTGATCAGATAGCCTGGCTCTGTAAAAGTAGGCGGCCAGTGTAACTCTGATTCAAAATCTGGTTACGACCACGTGCAGTGCTGATAGTACCGCATGTTTCTGAGACTTCTTTGTCAATGTTTTTTCTTCTTTTTTCCCCTTTCTAGTAATTTTGTTCTCTTGATGAGGAGGGACCTTTAGCTGCCCTCAAAATTGATTGAGTGTTTTAATATATGTATGCTAAATACAAGGTTGTTATTGCGATTTTGATCAACAACCTTCTGTTTGGTCAAAATATGTTCCAAATAGAAGGTTTTTGATTTGCCTAATTCTATAGTATAGATTATCCCCCCCTACACATACACACTGCCCTCAAATTAACCATGGATATCATACCTGAGATTACCTCAACTATAACTAATTGTAAGTACACAATTCTGTCAGTTGGTTAATTGATGGCTTTCTTGCTACAGAAAAATTTTATTTTTCATTTTGAGACCAACCTCCTTTTTTTTTTTTTTTTTTTTTTTTTTGGGGGGGGGGGTACATGTGTATGTGTTCTATGAATGTTAATGCAAGTGAGATGGTATGAATGGACTAGTGAGATGGTATGAATTAATTATATTCAGGTTGTTTAACACTAATTTATTTTAAAATGGGTATTTGAATAACTTCTATATGTTTTATTTATAATACAAGTATTTAATGCAAAATAAAATTAATGCTCTGTTAATGCTCCCTTTGTTTCAAAAGAGTTTTAAACAGTGTAAATTTGTATTGATGTAATAAATGACCTGCGTATCTATTTAAGAATAAGTAATGCATGTGATATTACCAACCAAGTTCTTCAATAGCTATATAGAATTTAATTTTTGCTGTAGCTGGTAGATAAACTCAGAATATTTGATTTACTTTATTATTATTTTCTTCTGCTGTATATGTAGCAATATGTTTTCTTTTTTAAGATTTAAATATGTTGCTTTTTACAAAATGTATAGGAGAATGAGCAGAAAATTCTCTTTGGAAACATAATTTCTCAGTTTTAGTTTTTAAATCATAAATGAAGTTACTTGACACCATTTATGAATTTTGAATTCTATGTGTGTTCATTAATCCATTTTCCAAAATGTTAGTTGGGTAGTTTTGATCAAAAAGTAATTTAAATATAACTTAAATTAAAAAAGAATTTTGTTCTATATAATCTCGTATTTTGTTGTGGTCAACTTTTAACTCAACAGTGGTCATTTCAGTTGACTTATAATTTTTCACTCAGTTTCATGTTTTATATATCATAGATATATAAAGTATGAAATTCTTTCTTAAATTATCTTATATAGCATCTAACATGTAGAAGTTTTTAATGCTGCTGCTATACATATTTCCCAACAAAACATAATCCCAACAGCAAAATAAGAGTACTACTTTGATTAATTCATTCCATTTTAGGATAGAAGATATATAACTAAGTTTTGTAATTCACATTTGAAGAAAATGCATAAGATTTTAAATATTCTTTAATCAATGTGTTATATATATTATTAACTGTAAATACCATACAAAATGTTGATGTTTAATACTATATTTGTTTAATTTTCCCTTTAGGGTGTTTTATCTTTGGCTTTATCATTTGAGACTCTTCTAGATGAAGTGGAGCCCCAGTTAGCTTATCATTTTTCAGTTCATGATATATATCCGTAGGTTCACTTTGACTCTTATTTTGGATGTTAACCTTTTCAAGCCCATTGATATACAAGTCCCAGAAACAAATATATCAAATTTTTAGTTTTTTTTTTTTTTTACATAATGTTGTGTCAAATGCAGTTTTCATACATTTGACCAAGTGTCCATTGGCATATCTCATAATTATATTTTCACTGTTACCTATGTGTAGTTCCAGAATTATTGCATTTGAGAAGAAACTCTGCTATTTTCAAATGCAATCTTTTCAAGTAGCAGAGTTTTCAGTCCAATGACTTCTTAAAATCAATATAAAATTATTATTGTAACAAGTTAAAATACTAATATTTAGATGTAAACTTATGGAACACAAGGGAAACAGTGGGAAGTTTTTTTTTTTTTTTTTTTTTTTTTTTTTTTTTTTTTTTACAGATTAGTTCTATTTTTTAACAGACATCGGGATTATAGCATTTAATCTTTAGTAGCTCAAATTATCCACAACTTGCTTTTCTGTTCTATTCCTGATATAATATATATCAATATCTTATAACTTTTGTTACTTTAACATAGGTAATGCCATTATAATGAAACAAAATTGAATTCTTATTAACCCTCTAAGCATTACAGGTTTGGCACTGAAAACATTAAGTTCCCCAAAATGACATGAATAAGTGGTTTATTTATGATTATAATTCCAAAATGACCTTCTCATTTTGCACCTTAATTCCTCCTCTTCCAATATACAACCATCTCAAAACTGGATCCATCATGACCTGGTAGATATTTTCATGTGTACAAAATTGGGAAACCAATCAGATTTTTACATCCATAACCTTGAATAGTTAACGTTTGCTTAAGGATGTTCCATAGTTTTACTTTGATGCATATGTAACCTAAATATTTCCTTATTTTATTTGATTTATACAAATTTCTGATTTTTTGTAAATGCATAATAGGGCATTAAAAATGAATCAAAAGCTAAAGCTATTATATTTTTATTCTGCAAACAATTTTTTTTTTAATATTTATAAAATATAATTCAAAATTTACTTTTTTTTTTGTAAATTTTAGCCAATGATTATGCTTTAGTTTTACCCCTAGGTTAAAGATAGCTATCAAATGGATCATAAAAGGATTTTCAGGATGCCTTGCTACAGACCAGATCTTACAACTTTGGGATTGTATGTTAGCTTATGATTCTACTGAAATATTTGTTGGTAAGTTCTCAACATATCAAAACCAAATTTGCACTAAGGGAGGAGGAAGAATTCACGATGCACAGAATGCATTATATATTGATATGCATATAATGCATCTGTATATTTTTCAGTGTGGCATGTATTTATAAATTATTTTGTAATATCCAAAGGTGTTATTAATTTATCTTGTTCTGATACAGATATTTTTAGTTATTTTAACTCCTTTCATTCTTTTAGCACAAAAAAATATTTAATAGGCATATTTAAATGTAAAATAATTTGTATACACAGAAGTATTGATTTACTATTCTCTAATTCAAGGTAATGTAGGTTTACTGTTTCTTTTGTAAAAATTAGCATGTATTTGCTTTCCTTTTCATTGATATTTAATTGTATTACATATTGCTTGCCAAAGCAGAAAAAAGCTCTGTTAATGCTCCCTTTGTTTCATGGAATTATGAGGTAATAATTTGAGTCATTTTTTGTGAAAATATTTCCTCTAGTATTAATGGCATAATCTTAATTTTTGTAAAATGAATGATCTAATCATCCACTCTAAAGCCAAACATTATTTGAACATCAGTTTTAACTCAGTATTATTCAACATCATTTTTAACTTAGAAATATTGTTAGATTTCCAGATAATTTTACAAAGAGAAATTGTGATTTAATGTTAATTTTATAAACTAATGAGTTTTCTGAAATTTCCAAATCACACAGAGCTGCTGGAAGCATATCTCAGCTCACAGTGGCATATAATATTTTAAATTCAACAAATGCGCTTAAATTCCACATAAATAATATTTTAAATTCAACAAATGCACATAAAAAAATGCACCTTTTTTTTTTTTTTTTTTTTTTTAAAAAAAGCAGGAGTCATGAAAAATGAGCAATGCCCTCCCCGAGACTTTAACCTTGGACCTTTTATATATGCGCTAAGTGTGCTGACTATTACACCATGAAGGCATGCTGAGAAGGCGGTAGAAATACTTTATATACTCTTCATTTTTAAGGGCGAATGAAGATTAGGGGACTCATTCACCAAATCCTGGTGTTGGAGAATCATCATCCAACACCTTTTTTAGTTCAAGTGCCGCTGTAGGATTTTTTGAAGTAGGAGTGATGAAAAATTAGCAGTGCCTTCTTCGAGACTTGAACTTCTGACCTCTCGAATATGAGCTGAGTGTGCTGCCCATTACACCACGAAGGCATGCTAAGAAGTCGGGAGAAATACCTTATACAACATTTAGTATAAATTAAGGGTTTGTTATCATGTAGATTTCCCTTTTCTAAAGCTACATTGATATTCTCTTCCTAGATAATTTACAGTGAAAGATAATTGATTAAGTGTATTTTAAAAGATTATATTGTATTTAACAAACAGATTTCATGGTAATTTGAACATTTTAAGACTAAGTCTTCTTTTTTATAGATTGAATATATGCAGTGGCGTAGCGAGGGGGGTCAAGGGGATGTATGATGCACAAGTGGTGCCAAATGGTCTCCAAACAAGATTTTCCGGAAAATGTGTTTATATTTTGATCAATTTCTGGAAAATATATTTAAAATTAATAATTATTATAATATAATTAATTATTTATTTTCTTGATTTGTCTGATAAAAGGTGTAATAAAATTTTTGCAGTACATCAACCAAATATCTCCGCATACAAAACGTTCTTTCTGACCACTTTATTTATCTAAAACAGAGATATATTTTTATATTTTTAAATGAAATGCACATCTAGCTCCCACTTTTTATTTTAACATGATAACACGACCTTGTCCATATCCATTTTAAAACATATCCAGTTTCCAGAAACCGATTCCATACTCTGGAAATGTCATTTTGGGAAACTCCTAACGCTTCCGCTACAATGGATTGCGTTTGACTCTCCTGTAAACGGCTGATGACCTTCCTGGCTACCGATTCGACTAAGTCACCTTGTTGAGACATCGTATATTCACTGCTACAAAGCGTTCAACGTCTGTCAATTGTTTGTAATCTCCTACTACAAAAGGAATGCTGCAGGTTGCTCCGTACTCCTTATCTAAAACGCGTACTTTTCGACATCACAGAGACTAAATTTGCCTATTCCCAACTTTGTAAAAGTTATAATTTTCCTTTATAATCTCTTCTATTTCCTTTTATTAAAAAGGTTGTCGATTATATCGTTATTTCATACCAAACCCACAATATCCCCAAATTGTTTTGAGCAGTGACTGTGACTGCAAGATGTTACTCCACAGTGGAAAAGAAACGGAACCTAAATCTCCATTACAGATCTATAGAGAAAATGTTTTGCCAAACCTAAGAGTCGCACTTCAAATACTCCTTACTATTTCATTATCAAATGAACGTTCGTTCAGTAAATTAAAAAACATTTTGACATATTTACAATCAACGGTGGGACAAGATACTTTAAGTCATCTAGCATTTTTAAATGCGGAAAGAGAAAAATTTGAAGGGATCGACTTTGATGAAGTAATTTATAAATTTGCTTCATCCAAGGCAAGAAAAATGTATACATAGTAATTAATTTTATTAATGTATTATATTATTATTAATAAATATATCTACTTATCTATAATATATATTAAAATTTTAATTATTTAAAAATTTTACTTTTTTAAAAGCAATTATAAAAATATGTAAAATAAATAATACTTTTTTAACTAATTCTAGATCATCCTATGTCTGATTTTTCCACTGACACAGATACATTTCCATTACATCCCGTTCCGTAGTTAGGTGGTGACTATTCTTAATGTATTTTAGAGTATTTTATGGCAAATTCAGCATTTTATTATTATTGCATTATTTTCTTATTACGTATATATTCTATACATTATATTACTGTAAGTTTTTCTTTAGGGGGGCGACAAAAAGGTATTTTGTCCCTTGCGCCAGTTATCCAGTTATGCTTGCTACACCACTGATACTATGGTGCTCAAACTGCACTTAATATAGAAGTACCTTATACATTCAGATATAGTTTTTGTTTATAGTATATCATCTCCATTTTTAAATATTCTGCTATAATTTGGTTGGGACCTAAAGTTTTAATAGATCTAAACTTCCTGATTGTAATTTTAACATCTTCTAGTAGAAGGTGATACATAGTTCATTATAATGGATGTTAACAGTTCTGTCTGTTATGTGAGTGATATTGAGTACTTCATTAAAATATTTAGTACTTTCTGATTATCTACACCTCCATCATAAGGTCGCAAAAAAGTGTTCATGAAAAAAAGCAATATGTTTCCAAAATAGTTATGTGGCAGCCCAGACATGCACATGGCATATATCTATTTTGGCAAGTGTGTAACACTGTTAGTTAGATGCCTTTTAGATGTTTATTATCTTAAGAAATTTTTCTTCAAATAGTTCCTTTTTGATTTTATCAGTTTACTTCTCCCTCTATTTATAATTCTATTTATAATTCTTAGCTTAATTGCTTGTAAATGTTTTGTGATACATTTTACAATATGCTTGCTACTTTGTACTTACTCAACCTCAAAATGAATTTTCTTAAAATTTAATTTATATAGTTTTTCAAAAGTACTCTGCATTTTTTTTTTTCTGGGCACAGGATTGAATTTTCAGTTTCTTTTGTGGTAATCCAAGCATTTTTTTTTTTTTTTTTTTTTGTCAGCTTCACAATCACTGCATAGAAAATGTTCACTGCAAATTCTTGCATTTTTTCACATTAATAAAATCTTGTCTTTTACTCAAATATTTTTTTTTTGGCCCAAAAGCAAATTGTCCCTTGGAAAAATATGAAATACAATATCACTATCTTTTCCATTTCCATGGCTTTCATGGCACTTTGCTACAACACAAGAAAACATATTACATAAATGTTACTTTACTGCAGTGGTCTCAATATTACATTGCATATGAGCCAGTGCACAATTTCAAAGTAGTTGATGGGCAGAAAAAAAAGGACGGGATTTATTTTTTTAACAAAACAAAATTTTTTAATTAAATTAAAAACTTTTCACTAGATATTTGTAAAAACATACAATTAAAAATAACGCAAAGAAAAATATCAAATATATACTCATATTTTGCTTGAAATCTAAAAGTTGGTATCTGCAAGAAATTTCTGTTGGTCACAGTTTGAAATTCAAACAGACAGCTAAACATTAAAATTTGATCGCTAAATATTAAAATTTCCAGACTGGCATTTATTCAACTAATAGTAATATATTGAACTACTAAAATATACTAAAGCTTCCCAAGAGGGATAAAATTTGAAAATAAATTATGATAACTTGGTCTTTTTCTTTTATTTATTAGATTATTTTTATGATGCAAAACAGAAAAATAATATTTGTATGCAAATTATTATAAACATCTTTGTTTTTTACTACGCCTTTCAGCTACACACCCTTGTGATGTTTTGATTTTCATGAAATTTGTAACCTTGGAGGGAAATTACTAAAAAGTATCATTACAAATTGTAGATACTCATCAGCAGTCTGTTTTTACTTCCTTGTACGAAGTAAAAAAGAAGTATTGTAATCGCGAAAAGTTTCAGGCAGCATATTTCAACGAAAATATCCCATTTTGACCTCTTTCAAATGCACTTTAACGATGTATTTTGCGTGGGTATCTGTACGTAAGGACAGAATAAAACACTCTTTTCCTCCAAAAAAATTATAAAACTGCTTTAAAATGAATTCTGAAGAGAATTTTTCGTGGCGTCTGTACGAACATATGTGCATACGTACGTACGTATCTCGCATAACTCAAAAAGGAGTAGCCTCAGAACGTTGAAATTTTGTATATAGGACTGCTATAACATGTCACTGTGCACCTCGTATTTTGGTGGCAATCGGCCACACCAAACGTATATAAATATATTTATATATACCGTAAGTTTTGGAAGAAACGCCGCGGCGTTTACGTGTTTAAAACTTAAATTTTCATCGGGTGCGGCGTTTAGGTGCACTAAAAATAAAATATTTCCTATGATGGTCATTGTGCATAGACTGGTGCTGTTCCCACACAAA